AACGTCAGAACAAAATCCGGAGCACAGAAGATGCATAGGAGCACACCGGCATAAATTATTCTCTGATCCTGCAACTTCGTTCTTCCCTCCATGGCCTTCTCCTCGTCTATCCATTCCGGTGGGTACCAATCATCGTACGGTATTACACCGAACTCAACAGAGGAGGATGTTGCTTCCTTCACGCGACTAAAACACAAGTTACATCAGCCACTATGCGTCGACGCCGAGCGCACATGCGTACCTCTTAAACTCCTCGTCAAACTCGACCTCATTCAAGAATACCCAAGGGTAGCCAAACCGTTTGTTAAACCGCCTCTCCAACTGTTCTATACTCGACAACACGCCATCTATATCCGAGTTACGGGCGAGCATAAGAAGTGTAGCGTTCTCTTTCCCCTCTCCTGCGGGGACGAGTCGGGTGTGATTCGTGGCAGAGCTGATTTGGGCGGCGGGGGGCCGTGGAGGTCGAACATAGGGACGTATTGGCCGTGGGTCTCGTTCAGGGAATGGTTCTGGTTTGCCGTTGCCGATGAGGTTCGAGGCTTCATCTTCGTGGTTTTTGTTTTGATCCTGAGCAGGGAGGAAAGAGAGGTAGTCCTTCCATAGAGAATTCGTCGTGTAGAATACAACTGTAAGAAGGGTCTTAGGATCGTTTGGTTTGGTATGAGCGACTGGATGAGCATGAGTAGAGCTTGTACGACGCACCAGAATTATCCCAATCAATATAGTGACATGTCTTTGTCGGCCTCTGAGCATTCCAAGAGCCCAACCCTATTTGATGGTGATGGTAAGAGAGCAAGCCGCGAGCGCTTTGTCGTTGTCAACGATGCGACAACCATTCCATTTCTGTCACTAGGTCAGGAACCAATCAGCTACCGCCGACGTTAATATGACTCTCATATTCGCCCTTCGCTCGGTGGTCATATATGCACAATGATGGTCAACATAGGAGGTATAGGATAGTGTTAGCAAAGTTGGAGGAGATGAGATCAGGAAAGTCAGTAGAAGCAGTGACGAAGCTCGGATTTATTTAGCACCCTTCCGGCTCCGACGGCATTAGACCGGAGTCGGACGGACTCCCCGGATCAGATCCCCAGTACATTCAGGGTCCTTTGTACAGTAACCGATGATTCGGCACTCCCGATAAGTTGGTATCCAAATCTCAAAATTCTGCATTTCTTTAGCGACGGGGCGTTGGGACAGCAGACTGAAGTGTATGCTTTGTCTGAAATCTCGTCAAAAGCTCGTTCTGAAGGTCTCGCGTTCAATCCGCGGTATCCCCCTCCAATTTCACCCTGGCTTGACATTGCTTTTTGTGGTTTGAACCACCGACTCAACGGTGCCTTCATATGGAATCAAGTGAAGGGACGTCCACAAGGGAGAGAGCACACTGAATATTATGCTCACTCGTAAGTCATTACACTGTAGTCATTACCGTCGTCGATCTTCTAGTCGATCCGCGGTCGATTTCCCTTCTTCAACTTTCTTCTTTCAGCTGGGAGAAGATCATCAACAAGAACCTCAACTCAAGACGTATAATCGGACTTGACATCTTCTGATAATGGTCGACTGACTCCGGATCTAAAAGTCTAGCTATACACGGCCCTCCTTCGGGAGCCTCAGTTCGGATAGTGTGCAGGGACCACTGGTGAATGCACAAAGTTTGGTATGGCCGTGGTAATTAGCATCAAGAAAAGTGGGTAGGGTTCTATAATTCGCAAAACTACAACCATAGCATTATTAAATAAAAACATCACTGTTACAATTGAGGACGAGCAGAATCCAACCAAGCGGTATTGTTCAGATTTGAAGTAAAAGTCCCAGCTCATCATTGCGCTCACTGAGTTCGCCTTCCGTTTGCATCTGCATCCGCGGCATCATAAGTTGGTGGCATCTCGATCTCAGCCTCTAGTCTGGCGACTCTCTGCGACATCTCCTGGAATCGTGCCCGGAACTGAGGGGGTATCTCTTCCCCAGGTTCAGCGTCACGCGATGTCCCTGAAAGCGATTGAGTTGATGGTAAGCGGAGCGCTTCACCCAACTTATGATTCCTAGGTGTTGATATGAACTGCCTGGCGCTAACAAATCTCGACTTCTGGTTCGTGTTCGGGTAGTCCGAAGGCGACAGAGGTCGTGCTACGATGTCTTGACCGTGTTTCCCTGCCAAGTCACATCCGATAATGTTAGAAAGAATAGTGACTCGGGTTTTTACTAGAACGTACGGACCTTGTTTCCTTCTACGGATACACAAGAGAAGTGCAACGAAAATTATAGTAGCCAATAGAGCCCCGATCACACCGCCTACAATTGCTCCAGTATGATTGGAACCTTTGGAATCGGTACTTGAATTGCTAGTCGAGGTGGGAGGAACTTCATCTCCGGATCTAAGTCGTTATTAGTGATTACTATACTTTTGTTCGTTGGGAAGACAGGTCATACTCGGGTGCAGAGGATGGAGAGGAGGTGGGTTGGAATCCTTCGCTTCCACTCCCAGTGCCGGTGGATGTTTGTGCTGGCGACTCCGTTTGCGTTGCTTGCGAATTCGACGATTGTGTTTGTGACGGGAGCGAACCCTCATAGCCTGCGGGGATCTGGGCCTGAACTGTCTGTACGACGACTGTATGTGGGAGCAAACCAATTTGCAGGGCGTTTTCTCCGTTTGCCGCGTACCCACTCCACCCGTCCAGCCTGAACTCGCTGTCGCAGACGCCAATGATGAATGACTAGTCAAGTGGAAGACAAGAAGCCTTTACCCAGGTACCGTCGGGGTCATAGTATATGTGCCTTTCTTACGTTCACCAGCGTTGAACACCCGCCCTGTCAAGGAATTACTCCCGTAGAATGCCCCAAACTGGAGGTATGCTGAGGCTTGGTCGGAATTATCTCGACACCAAGTGAAGGAAAATGGTTGGGAAATAGTGACGGTGCTTGGGAGGGGTGTATCCAGCTCGAATGATCCCACTCGTGGTAACCATAAGAAGGCCGAGATCCATAGGCTAGCGAAGGTCATTTCTGTCAGTTTTTGGTATACCTCGAATGTTTGCTACTTACAGGAAGTACTGGAAGATCATACCACCTCTAAGGTTCAAAAGGAAATGTGGGGGTTGAGAGACTCGAAGCCTGGGGAGTGGTATGTATGAGACTATCGAGAATAAATGTCAAAGTGAACGTCCGATCATCGTAGCTGAGAAATCTTTAGCTTCCGAGGTGGTGCTGTCTCTATAACGAGAACTGATATATACTCACTGTTGTATAATCGAAGTGTTTCACCCGAGAAGATGATCATGGTGATGATCAACAGAGTTTTACAACTTGAGGTCCGAATATCTCCCGAG